TTCAGCCTCAAGAATTTTTCAAAACAAGAGTACAAATGATAATTTCCTTTTTTCCATCTTAAAGAGGCTTCTGTTTCCTAGAAGTAAGTTAGTTTTGTCTGCACTTACTTAAAACCTTGTATTTACTTTACTTTCATATATACAGAGAGAGAGAGAGAGGAGAGAGAGAGATGTACGAAAACAAACAGTTGTGCAGCCTTCCACCGTATCTGATTTCAACTCCCATGGTGTTCACAGACGCAGGAGAGGGAGCGTGATGCTCACTGACGGAATGTGAACGGTCAAAGGCAGGTAAGTGCAAAGCTTATTCTGACTGCACTGGCTGCCTGCATCACTGCCAGTCCTACTCCATTCTTAAGCTTTCCTCTAAAAACAAGTCTAACCTTTGGATGGTATCAACCATCACTTTACTTCTTTCACTGCTATAAGCAGTATTTTCTGCTTGGGGAAGTGAACTGGTTGAATTTATACCTATCTTAGCAGAAATGTGACATTATCAAGTATATGGTACTCCCCATCTGCAAGACACAGTATCTGCCTTGCCCATTTATTAGCACTCCCAACCCTGCGAAGAGGCAAGCGTCAATCCCATTTCCACAGTGGGGAAGGAACTAAGGAGAGGAAGAGCAATACTTCATCTGCTATTACAAAGAAAGTCAGTCCAAAATAGAAAGAATTAGAGCTAAGATGTTCACTGGCCTGGGACCAAAGCATACAAACCCCTTTCTCCCCTCCCAACTCCCTCAACTCCAAGGCACCCGCACCAGAAACATTAAACAGTCTAGAATAAATGCTTTACATGTGCAATATGAATCCACTTCTCAATGATCTTCGCTCTTTGCTGTGGTTTGACTTCCTTGCTCTTCAGGATAGTGCTGATAACACATTTGGTAACTGCATTGAACTGTGAGATGGTGGCTCTGATGGTAGGCGCCAGGTGCTCGTTTTCTTTCTTATCCCTTCGTGACCAGATGCATCCCAAACAGTGGTGGGGCACAACTTGCTTGAAGAGTTTCTAGAGTGAAACAGAGGTGTCTAAGTCAGCAGGATTCTCCTAAATCTCTGTCGTCCACAAGGGGAAATGCGTATTTATAGTACAAATTGAATCTAAGTCTAATACGGTGTTAAAAGGTAAATCTATCTTTTCTGTTAATTTAAGATACACATTTTGGCATACTCTTTATAGGCTTGATGCCCTAAAAGAACTGTCAGCTAAATAGTCCTGAGAAAATAAGAGAAACCTTTATATCGGTTGCATAGCCGAGGGGAAAATTTTTAATGTAATGATATTTTGAAGGAGAATGACACATACAAACCAAATCAGAGCACTACACTTAAGAGTACCTATACAACTTTAGGCCAGGTAGCAATATAGTCAAAATGTGCTATTTCTCAGGTATCAAATATTTAACTTTGCTAAAAAGGCTACACAGTATACATTCATAGCATTTCAAGTAGTACATATACTCTACATACTGCATCCATGTATGTCAACTGTTCTGCCACAAGGTCTTCTGGGAAAGACAAGAATTCTTCTGAACTGTTGATCTCCAGTTCCTCTTCATCAGATAGGTTACAGGTGGAAGGGTTATAGAACACATCTGTCCAGGAGGGAAAACACAGCTTAGAAAATTTATACAGCAAACGGTGAATCAAAGCAGATGGTTGTTTATTTTAAAACATCACTGATATATATTACGGGAGAACATCCAAAGGGCCCTGCCTCATGTAATGGCCCAACTGTGCTGCATATTTTAGTGAGAAAGACGACGACCAGAAGATTAAATTGGCAAAGAAGAGGTGGAAGAAAAAGAAATAGTTAGAAAGAATTGAGCTGTTTGGGGTCTCTTAGCAGAGAAGTGGCTTAACCCATTCGCTAACCATTCTGCTGAAAGAAAAAACACCACCCTCCTAATAAAAATTCCTTATTAACATTGCAGAATTTTGTTAATCTACTTTTGAATATTTGTGCATTTTATAATCTGAAAAAAAAAAGTATCAAACTGCAAAGGGACGAGACTGCAAGTTATATCCCCAAAATATTGCATTAGGAATGCTCTTATATCCAAATTTCCCCTCCCATGTCTGGAAATAAAAGGAGATATCAGATTTCTTGGCATCATTTGTGGCTACATGGACTATATTGAAGAGAGTTTGTTCCAGCATCCCTCACCTTCCCTCTCTGGGAATTTTTCCCGGAAAAGGGAATACAACAAGCACCCACAGCATTCAGTTGAATGCTGCTTCCAAATTTGCACCGGGCAGCAGTGAAGAGGTGAGAGAGGACAGCTGTCCTCATCGAGGGATCCGATCCAGTGTGGAAGGGAAGGGATTTCACAGATATTCCCATGTCACCTTTTGGCTCCCACAGGTTGGGAACAAAGCCATGTTAAAATACAAAGAAATATGCCCTTGTTTCCCATGGTAGAGGAGGAAGTCAAACAGAAAATCCCTGAAAATAAATCCTCTTCCTAATCCCCTTTACTGTAAGGCGATGGTAACTCCATAAGAACGGAGGGGGGGAAAAAAAAAAAAAGGACTTGTTGAAGACTAACAACAAAAGCACTGAGTTTACTACTAGTGAGATTTCATTACCAAAGCCAAACAGCGCATTTCAGAGTATGTTATGCAATACTTCATCGCAATACTTCATCCCCAATTAAAGCAGAACAGACATTAAAGCAACAAAAGCAGATAAAGTAATATTTCATCACTGTTTTTCGAAATACTTTGTTTTTCCTTTCTTTATTAATTAGCAAAACCTAATCATCAATGTAAATTGCTAAGGTTTGGTGTAACAAATTATAACTACAGGCTGTATCCAGATTTCCATCTGTACATTCCAATTGCACAATTTATTGACAGAGCTAAAAGCGATAAATGGAGACCTCTGTTCCAGCATTATTTTTCTGTGGCTGTTTTGTAACAATACGCATAATTAAATGGACGTCTACTGAACTATTACAAGAGTCACACTTTTTTCTCTCTCTTTTTGGCTATGTAACTCCTCATTTTCCTTTCAGCTCTTGAAATTCAACTGAAAATCCTCATCACCGAGTTGCAACCCTACTCAAAACTTCACAGCGCCCTTAAAATCAGGTCCTGGAGTGAAACGCAAGATTTTCCTTTTCTTTTTTTCATGCCTCTCTTTCTTCTTTCTCTCTCGCTTTCATAAATGTGTAACCAGTCTTTTCCCTGCTCTTCAAGAAGCTGGAGTCCCCTTGTACTTAACTATCTCATCATCTTCAAATCGCTCTGATCCATTTAGCCCCCTCAAAGCCCGACTGCCCTCTTGACTTCACTGAGACCAACCACGTGCCCCTTCTGAATTTGCCATCTCTGACTCACCTTGCTTTGTACTGCTCAAGCTGCAAGAGCTGAGGCCAGGAACAGCTTTTATCTATGGATCTGGTAGTGCAATCTAATCTGCTGCCACGGCTGATGGCAGCACCGAAAGGAGGTCTGATTACACAAACCAAACTGTAGGATTAGGACCCAAATTTGCAAATTCATAGCACAATATGAATGCTTTAGAACAATAATTATCAGCAAGTCTTGATCGCAGACAACACAAGAAGACTTGCAAGAAATCTCTGAAATGAACAAAGATGGAGCTCTGATAAAGTAAGTGACAATTCTAAAACTCTTCTCTGCAGACCCCACAGGTTAACTGCGTTCTCCTCCTCTTATTTTATTCTACTTAACAGCCTCTATTCTGCCGCAATTTGGAAAACGTTATCATTCAATCGACCCATCTATAACTCAGAAAAGAACTTTTTCAACTGTTACTCGAGGAAACAAATGCAGAAGCAGGGCTGCTGGGAACTTCTGTTCACTTTGAACAACAGATGAACCCAAATATAGCTCTCGTGAGCTTGCTTTGTTTGACCTGTGGGAACCAAACCCAGGAAAGGACATCAATAGGCACATATTAGCAATCCTGTTCACTTACCTGTGTTCAATAAGGAAAACGCCTGGGCTCTGTGCAGTACTCCTTTTTATGTATGTGTTAATGACGGAGTTAATTTGGCATTTCACAGCATTATGCATTGACATGGTATTTCTGGAACATCCGGCAGACATGATTTTTATGGGATGAAATGGATTTTTTTCCTATCATTTCCTTTATCCTTTATTACATGAATTATTCCCTCTCGCCCCTCTACCAAAGCTGGAAGTTGATTCTAGTTTTCATTCACACACTACGTGATCTCCTGTGACTTTTCAGTTTATGCCACAGGAAACTTTCTGACCAGGATAAGGTTATGTGTCGGGCTTGACGCTGCACACAGCATATTTGTGGTACTACAGTTCGCTATTGTTTCAGTAGACTGTGACCCCCAATAACGTAAGTTTTTCCTCTGTCCTTGGATACCAGCAGCCGGCCACTCAAATAGGAAAAAACAGCTACAGACACTTCCTTTGCCATGATGGTAACTAGGAAGAAAAGCTTCATGACAACAAGGTTTGTGACTCAAGCTGTATTTTGTCGCAGCTCTGTATTTTGCTTTTTGTTGGTTTGGGCTTTTTTTTGAGGGGGGGGGGGGCAGTTTGAAATGAGAAGACCAGCTAAAGAGCGGCTGTGTGTTTTAATTCAATGATACGGGAAGCATGCTGACAATTAACCACTTATCTGCTGCAGTGATCTCAAGGCTTTGGCTAAATATTAGAGAAGTGCTGGATTTCCCAATGCACCGCAGAACTAACAGGCATAGACACCTACACTGTACAACTCTTTCATCCCACACAGAACCTGCAGCCTCATACAGAGATTTTGTTAAAAAAAAAAGAAACAAGAAAAAAAGTCACTGGTGAGCCTAATGTTGTAAATTAGCATAGGAGTTAATGAAGTGTGGTACCTGTGCTACCATACTGTCTGAGGGAAGAGAAAGAGAAAGAAAGGAGAGAAAGGTAACTTACCATCGGTTTCTGCTTCTTCGTTCTGGAACTGCTCCAAAAGGTTCTCCGCCCTCCTCTCTGGGTCAGAGCCAGCTATGTTCTTCTTCAGGTAATCCAGCACCTTCAGCAAACATGGGTAGCTGGGCGGCTCTCTGAAATCCTCAGAGCACTGATCGAGCCAGGCTCGTAAGATTGATGCTATTGCACTACAAGAAAACGCAGAGCAAACACACTGGTTGTAGACAGCATGCCTCGATGCAAGCGTATGTATCTGTATCTAATACAACAATCAAAAGACTGAGACATTCATACCCCACATGAAGGCAGCATGAAGACTTTTTTGAGGAAGGCATTTAATTTGTTCTTCTTATGTGTGCAATCTTATTAAGACATCACTCAGATTTTTCCAGGGACTTCAGTGAAACTGCTCCTGATTTGCAGTCCTACCAGTGGATCGAATTATAGCCCCCAAATGCAAACTGATACAGAATAAAATCCATTTAAGCTATACTGAGAGCCTTCTATTAAATTCAGGATATCAAATAGTGATAGATAAAGCAATTAAGATAATAGAATAGAATAGTTCAGTTGGAAGGAACCTACAGTGATCATCTCGTCCAACTGCCTGACCGCTTCAGGGCTGACCAAAAGTTCAAGTGTGTTATTAAGGGCATTGGCCAAATGCCTCTCCAACCCTGACAGGCTTGGGGCATTGACTGCCTCTCTGGGAAGCCTGTTCCAGGGTTTGACCGCCCTCTCGTAAAGAAACACCTCCTCATGTCCAGCCTAAACCCTCCCTGGTGCAGGTTTGAACCATTCCCACATGTCCTGTCCCT